TGAAGGCAGCATTTTTAGAAGAACCTTCCTCCTGCCCCGTGCTCAGCTGCGGGTGTTTGCCACCTGCTGGTTGAGGGGCCTTCATGCGGCTTTGGGGTTTTGAAACCAGAGGATGCAAAAGTGCCAGCTGCAAGATGATGTGTGGGAACCCTAAACCTTAAACACTAAATCGTTCGGGAGTGCTCCTCTTACTTTCCAGTTCCCAGCATCACTGGATGCCACTTGCCTATCCCCGAAGTGGTGTCAGCATTGGCCAAAGCTGGAGGAACCGCCCAAAAGCCTGTCACGAGCACAACCTGGCAGCTGATGCAGGTGAACCCCTGAACCCCAGATGTGGCCTAGTTGCCCTGCCTCGAGGTTCGAAAACTCGGAGAAGCTTGGCTGCTCTTGGACAAGGATCCGCTTACGTCCCATTAGGTTTCCTCATGCCTCTGCTACTTCCAATTCTCGTTTTGCAGCGCGCGGATCCCAGGACCCAAGGGTTTAGGTTTGCCTTCGTCTCCGAGCATCTACAGGGAACCCCTGGTGGCCACTAAGGAAGTACGTGGTGGGAACGTTGATTTCGGCCATGATGGTCACCACGATCATCATCAGCATCCGGCCTGCAATCAGGTTCCGATCAACATGAAGCTTGCTGCCAACTTTCAAAACCCCGACTGGCCCGTTTGATCACTGCAGCTGGAGCGACGGACCTCGCCAAACCCTGCGCGTCCTTGGAGTAGGGCCTGGTGGCCCTACCATGTTAACCTTCGTGCCGGATCTCGACCCGATCCCCATCCAACGCTACTTACCTCTTGTTGGCTTTGCTCCTCAGATGGCTCCAAGGGTGAGCCAAAGGGATTAATGGATTCAAGCCCCGTGCTTACACAGGCATGTCTGAAGCCGCTGCCTAATTCATTTCAAGTAGTAAGGACACCCCTCGCCTTGCACGAATTTTCGTACCTAAAGTCATGCCCAACCCAAACCCCCCATTACTGCAAGCTGTAGAGACGAATACTCGATCCTTCGGCTTTTGTAGGTTCCTGAGGATAGTGTCTAGAGGACGAGGGATGGTGCGGGGTTCACATGATAGGACGGATTCGACTTGCTCCGACTTGCTCATTTCCTTGGGCCCACTCCCAAACAAATCCCCTGTGCCCAACCCTGCCCAAACTAGAGTTGAACATCCAGAGCTTCTCCGTCAGGCACTGTGACCTTCGTCTTGGAGTCCATGCCACCGTTCCAGGAACGGTCACCAAAGTGCACCTGGGTCCGGAGTTTAGTTGGGACTCAGGTTTAATGAGACTACAAAATCTGTTTAGGGGATGTGGGGCTGTGGGACTTCAGCTTTGAAGGGTTCAGGGACCAATAGGGTTATTGTAGATTCTAAATGTGCCCAAAGTTCTGACTCATGGCTCTGATTTCATGCTGCTGAGCCCCCGACGTGAACACGTACACACAAGGTACTTCAAGCTTTACAAAAACTACCACTGCAGAGAGATGTAGGCCCCTTTGTGTGCACGCTGCTGATTTCCAAGATCAGAGCCTTCCCAAATTAAGTTCTACCCTCAATTAAGGACCAGGAAGCTCAACTGAGTTCGATTACCGCCAGAAGTAGAAGGCTTAAGTCCTAAACTTGGCTTATCTTTGGTTCGCATGAAGAGCCCAGCTCACTTGGCTTTGGTCTTGGAGTCTGGGCCTACTAGCTTCTTAGTTTTCCACCAATTGTAGGGTATGCGTCAGGGCACCTGCGAAACAAGGCTGTATGTAGGGTCTCAGGGCTTGCAAGGAAGAATGGAAACCACCACTTTTGTTGAGCGATTTCGCCAGTGGGGGTTTCAGGGCACCGTTAACGCGTGAAGCCCTAAGCCCTCCCTTGTAGCCTTTGGGCAAACACCGCTTTCTGCTAAGGCGAACAACTCCGAGCCGCTGGGGAGCCGCTGACAGTGGAGGTCCCGAGACTCACCGAACCTCAAAACCCGTGCATTTTTTTGTGGAGGTTCGGATTTTGGCTTGGGTGTCTCGTGCTGCTGTCAGATCTCTCGGGATAAGATTCGGCTGCCTGCCGCTTGAGGCTCTGTAGTGTGCAGCCGAGCCCAGAAGCCTAGTTTTTTGTTGTTTAATTCTGACTCCACTTCTGCTGATTGGCGTTGCTATCCAGCAGCCAGCCCTGCGAGCAACTCCCACAGCCCTACGTACATTCTTTGAACGCCTGAGATTTTTGGGATGACGGATCTGGTTTGGGTTTTCCGGTTCGAAGTTTGGGGTGCTTAAGGAGCCAGAGACGAGCCACAAGCGCCATTCTTGATAAAGCTGGATCAGGCCGATTAGGCCAAACAAACACATGAAACACGGTCGTCATTGCAAGTGCCTTGAATGCTTTACGCAAAATTGAGAAACCGTGTGATTGCATCGTTCTGTACGGCAGTTGGCATACTTCATCTGCAGCTCCCAGTTCAAAGCTACGCTGTGAAAGCTACCAGAATCATGCCGCTCGCAGTACGTCACACTCGCTCCAGTGTACTCCCTCCCCCGCCCACAAACAAGTGCACATCACAATGACCCTCTGTGATCACCCTGAATGGGGGGACAGGCCCAGCAATCAATCATTCAAGGCGTGGGATTTAGCCCCGCCCGAAGATATGACAATGCCCGGAAAGCTTTACGTAAAGACGGACCCCTCTAGAGGACAGGATTGAGAACTCGCAGGGAAAAAGAAGCTGTGCATGGTGTGGAAAGCGATAACGTTCCTCGTATAAGGTTATAAGGACCATGTTGGATGTAGAACGTCAGACTCAGAATCCAGCCGAGTCATGAGAATCTTGATTCCAGTACTAAGCCAGCACCGACAGTCAAGGACAATCCAGCCGGGTCATGAAAACCTCGGTCCCAGTACGAAGTCACTGCTGAAAATCAGCGACAATCCAGCCGGATCATGAAAACCCCGATTCCAGCACTAAGTACTAAGCCAGTACTGAATCAATCACGATCCCGGCGGGTCATGAAAACCTCGATTCCAGTACGAAGCCAGCACTGAAAATCAACGACGTTTTCCCAGCCTAGAGAAAGCCACCCGCCCCCCGCCCTCCCCAAAGCTGGAACCGAAACCCGGAAACCTCATCCTTGGACTCCTTGGACACTAACCCGAAACCCACCGCCCATTTCCGGAGGCGTGCGAGCCGGTGCGGGCCATAGCTGCAGCTTCAGGATTGGGAGCTTAGGCTCAGGGCTATCGTTTAGGGCTCAACTTCGTTGAGCCCTGGTTTACGTACTCTCTAGCCTTACTGCGTAAGACATGTATATGGTGATGCAGGGTTCGGGGTGTATCAGGGCTTAATAAAAAATCAGCACATGCGCATGCGAGGTTCCACTGGCCTTCTTTTCCGTCATCGAGGCCGCTGCCACGAGTCAATGGCGATTGAAAGGGAATGAGGGCCCATCGACCCAAAGCCCTGAACTGCATGTCTTAGCGATATGAATCCCCTTACATTCAAAAGTTGGTTGTGGGAGCATTGCCAGCTTCAGGCAATCTGCATAGCCATCTTCACGATCGAATATCTGGTACGGCATCTTGGCCGTGACTGCCGAGCCCCAATAACACACACCACGGTTTGGGGCTAGGTTAGATACAAAAGCATAAAGGTGTACGTGGTGCAGGCGTCTGGAGGATATGGGTTTCGGAAGATGCCTCATGTGCAAGGATCAGCGGCGCAAGCACCAACCTCAAGCACCGGAAGCATGTTTAGGGCGGTTTAGGTTAGGACTTCAGAGCTGTTCAGAGTTAGCCCCGCTTTCATTCAGTGAAACTCTGAGCACTTCACGGGCTTGTAAATCATGTAGTGTCGATTCAACAGCAGCCTCAACCCTGAAACCGCTAAACTCCCTACACCCCTGCTTGTACCAACCAAAATCTGGAAGTCCAGAGCCTTCCACACGCGCGAGCGCACCTTCCGGGAAGCATGCTTCATTCTATGGTGAGGATGCCTGATTGCGATCACTTCAGACAGTCGAAAATTTGCTGGCTCAGAGGAAGCCGAAGTGTGAAGTATCATGTTGCGTCGAGCTGGGATTTCCAGCACGAAATAGCTGAGTGAGATCATCCTGACCCAAGTTCAGCGTAGTCACTGGAGAAGACTGCAGGTAGCTCTGGTCAGCTTTGGATGCCGCAGGATCCCCCTTGTTTTGTGATTTTGGAGTCTGGCCGAAGAGCTCCCAAGCGCCATGTCTGTGCCTGGCCTTGACGAGGAGCTCCAGGCGCACTCGATTGCTAAACTTTGGTAAAACGTATTGCGCCGTTGCGTTGCGTTGCTAGACCGTATGGCCCTGTACGAGTCTGCCTTTATCCCTTTGTAATCGCATTTTGCTTCTACGAGTTTGTCCACCTACTTAGAGTCGCAACTTTCTTTCAAGCCAGACCACATGGAGGGGGGTGTGGGGCAGTTTGCCAATAACTACGTTGAGCTGACTCTGGTTTTCTGCATGCCCGGCAGCACTGCTAAAGCGACACTCTCTACTTCCAGTCCTCAGGCTGTGTTTGAGATGATCCTCTGTTGTTCTTGGGGCTGAAGGGCGCTTTCGATACACTGCATGTTTGCATCACTGCCAAAAGCGCATATTTTGTTGGAAAACAGGACAGTGCTATACAAACAGTATTCTACGTGTGGCGAAGTGAAAAAGTGTGCTTCGGGTTTAGAGTTAACGTTGAGGGCTTCAGGAGAACCGCAGGGCCCGACCTTGAAAACCAACCTCGCCAAGTCCCGAAACTCTAAGACTCTAAGATTTTGTGCGCCTCCCTCCCCCCTTCCCAACCTGCTTCAAGCCCTTGACAGGGTTTCCAAGAAGAGGGACGTGACTAGAGACCCCGAACTCGAACACATTTTGGGATCGATCGGCGATGAGTATCCAGTGGAGCTTGAAATGAACCGACATGCCGGACTGTTCCTGTTTGGCGATGAGAAGTAACTTAATTAGGCTGCTTCTATGCCAAAAAGAAGACCCAGGCTGCCGGCCTGGAACGGTGCATGGCGAAAGCTGCAGAGTGGTGTGAGAGCATGGGCCCCAGGGACCTGGAGGACGCGTTGAGGGTTTTGGTTTCGGGCTGGTACAGGAAGGAATCCTGATGGGCTTCAGCTCGCAATCTGGTCAGGGGTTTCAGTTTAGGAGGTGGAGTCTGGGGTTCCGATCAGATGCACCGGTGTGGCTTTTTCTTGGGAGGTGGTCCTTTCGCTGGGAACAACAACATGGTGTTAAAGGTCAAGGTTGTTTGTCTAAGATGTCGTTCGGGGCCCAAAGCCTGGCCTATACCTTGGGCAGGAGATCAGTGAGCAGGATGTCTTTCCGGAGTTTGCCGACGCTTTGGGCCTAAAGCCTTTGGAGAGGCGGCGCCTTCTGAAGGGCATCCAGAAGGCCTCGAGCTCCTCAAATCTTTCACAGCTTAGGGCTCTTAGGCTTAGAGATCTGCTGTGCGGAAGTGTTCAACGCAACGGTGCGTGTGAAATGTTTCCTATGGACCCGGCTAAGCAACAACAGACAGCACTGACGTCAACGAAATAGCAGTGGCATCCGTGCCACAGATAGCAAGTCTCGAACAAGCGACTTCAGATGACCTGCAACATCTGCTGCTATCCCCGCAGCATATCACAGCATCGACAGCAATGACAGCAACGACAGCAGCAGCATCATCATCATCATCGTCATCATGATGATCATCATGCGCTATGCTATAAGCTTCCGGGCATGGAAGTTTTGGATGCAGTGGTCTCGCCGTAATTATTGGTTGTCGAAGGGGCAAGGATGCTTTGGCTACATACAGACGTACAGGAAGAGTGTGAGTCGCAGCATTGCCGGAACCGTGCTTGCTACATTTCAGTGGTTTGACCTTGCCCTGAAGGCCTCGGGTTCCGGCGGCTACAATAGTGCCGCACCTGCCGCACCCTCCGCGGGCTCGAGGCTACCACCGAGCCTCGGCCCTGGGCCAGCGGTTTTCGTGAAGAACACGTTCCTGGACACTGGGATGTTGCTGCAGAAAGTTTTTGGACTGCTTCGGTTGAAATGCAAATGCCAAAAGCGTAGGAAAGCTCTCAACTTCGTTTGTTGACGGTACTCGGACACGCAGCCAAGGATTTCGAACCAGATGACAGCGAAGTGCTGTCGGGCCTCGCGCGGTCAAGTACCACGCCTGCCCCTGCTTCAGCCTATCAGGATGAGGGAGAACCAGAAGAAGCCGTCGATGAGGACCCGGAGGAGTCGGAACAGGCTGCGGTGCTCACCAACCCCATGTACAAGACCATGACTTTCGATGCCTGGGAGCAAGGGGAGGCTTGGGACTGGATGCACAACCGCCAGAGTCTCGATGCACTGGGCGAACAGATGGACCAGCCTATTGAAGAGAGCATTCCGGAGGAAGCACCTCTCATGTCGGGGCCCGTCGGCATGATGTTCATTCCCCAGGAGGTGGCAAACTGTTTCAACACTAGTCACTAGTCTCTTAAGTCATGACATTCATAATTCATCCACTCCCCGAGAACCCCGCCGATTGTCCAGGTCATGCCAGGTTATGCCATGGCCGTGCCGCCCCCGGAAATGTGTATGCCAGGTTGCTTCGCAGTTCCTATGGACCGCTTCGGCCGCTTTCCGGGAGCCATGGAGAGTATGCCTCCGGCCTTGGATGGCAGCGTCTCCTCCATTGCCGTGACGACGACTGCAGACAACAACCGGGCACAGGTTCTGCAGAGGGCCTTCAGCGTGAGCAGCAACGTCTACCGAATCATCGGTTGAGCTCTATATAGCTCTATAGTCCGTTCTTTAAATTCCTTAGTCGTTTTACTCCTAACACAGGGCTAGAAAGAATCTGAATCTGAAGTTCTGAAGTCCCCTCCAAACCTAAATAGCGGCCCTCAGCAAAGCCTCAGGAATCCGATGGACGGTGGACGCCCGGAAGCTGAAAAGCACCGATAAGGAGGCCGTATCGCCCCCCTTCGACCTCACCTTCGCCGGGGGTCAGCCTGTGCCTACCGGGTTTAGTCGTTTTTTTCTGTTGTGTTTTTTCTTCTTTGTGCTGGAGGGCTCTGCGAGTTTAGGCACGCGTCGTGATTTCTGCTAAAAATCGTCCTTTTTTTGCATCTCGTGAAAGTGCCCTTCTGCTGCCAGGTGCCCTTCAAGATGATCCTGCGGCCCCGCGTGGTGGCGCAGGAGAGGGGCGGCGCCTCCTTCAGGAGGCCGTGGGGGGGCTCTTTAGGGTACATAAGTTACAGAAGGTGCTCACTGGGGTGGGTGAGATTGGGTGGGGTGGTGGAGGAGGGGTTGAGGGAGCAAGGGGGGTTTCGAGCTCGCTGCTTTCATGAGACGGTGTAAGTCCCGAGTTATTTCGGGAGTGAACTGTTCACCCAGTGTACGACTTTTCCGCACATGAGTGGCTAACCGTTTAACTGTAAGAATGCTGCTGGAAACCGGCTGTGCAACCGAACAGCCAGCAAGACAAAGATCGTCTATTTCCGTTTCGTTGCGTTCCGGCGTTCTGTTTCGCTGGCTCCGGCCCCGCCTCTAGAGATAGAAATGCAAACGGCAACACCACGTAACTTCAATTTATGACTCCAGGTCCCGCGGACGAGGGAACATCCAACTCCGGTGCATGGCAGAGTCCGACGCCGCTGCCAAGCCCGTTGTGACCTTCCGGCTTTTGGTGGGCAGCGACAAGGCCTGGGAAGGGGAGATGTAGGGGAGGGTCATGTTTGTAACGGGCTCTTTCAGTTCTCGCCTCTTCCAACCTATTCGACACCCGTGGGTTGAAGGCGAGATAGACAAGTTTGAGGGCGGTCGGGATCCGAATCACGGATTGGGATTGTCTTCTGCGGGTAAGTGGCTGGAAACTGGGCCTCACTGACCCGCAAAAAGCCCTCCGAGCGCATGGCGCGCAAGGCCGCCAAGCAGCTAAAACCGCGTGGCCCCGTCTCCCATGACTTCTCGGAGAAGAACATCTGCGGATTACCTGCTGGACTGCCATGTGCTGTGTGTACTTGGTTTATGGCACGCGTACTGGGTTTAACGCTCTAATGCCTGAATTGCACCCCCCAGCACTATGAAATGCCAACGTCAGGGGTTAGGGGTTGTAGATTGCTGTGATCGCGTGGCTCACGGGCCCGGGACGTTGGCTCTTGCTCGAAGGCCTGCTCGCATTGTTCGCATTGTGGACCAATTGCGTGAGGTAGTGGCTTGGGCCCAAGCTCCCAAGTCTTCATCGCAAATAGCATTGTGGAGGGCGCACGTTTGGTACTCGAAATTGTGCTTCGTCCGAAACACATCGCAGGGCGGTATCCTGCGGTTTGGGCTCTTAGACAGATGGGCTCGCTTCATGCGTCCAGTCCCAGACAGTTTGCATTTGCGGTGTTACAAACGGCGCTCTTACCTCGTGAAGCGTGGAACTGTGGTCGCTTTTGGCCCTTTGGAGGGTCTTGGAGTGCTTCTTTTTCAGGGTCATCTTGTAGTGGCCTTGGAGTGTATTACATTGTAGTTCGGGTTCTACAACACTGGCAGAAGTTTGGTCAGGATACCCGGCTAGGCCTATAGGGAGGCTGCGCGACAGGGGTGCAAACAGAGGTGTATTGCAAAGCTATGCAGCCCAGAAGTGTACCGATTATTCCAAACTATACCGTGTACCTTAAATTAAATCGGTCAGGACAAGACGACTGGGACTTTGGAAAGGCTGTGGATGACCAGACACAGACCTTCGTGGTGTGCCTTGAGATTCTCTCTGGCTCGGAGGGCCGCTCCGGGGCCTAGTTCCCATGTCGTCACTTTCGGACGACTTTAAAATACCTAGGGCCCGCAGGGTTTCCCCAAGCTTGCCACAACGATTCTCAATGTGAGCAGTTTAGGCTTGTTGGAGTTTGGGTTCGCATTCCTGGCTAGAGCTTGGCCCCATGCAGACTTGGCCGATTGGGCAAGCCTTGCGGACCATAGTCACCCACCTGAAGAAGGCGTGAAGAAAAACTTAAAGTGCTGCCGCTCCATCTGATGTCCTGTGTCTGGATGCTGCTTGTTTATGTTGGCAGCTGCCGTCCCACCAGCCTGAAGCCCTACTGGCAAAGTAACTCATCCCGAGCAACTCTAAGTCGCCTTTAGTACGCCCCGCAGGCCCGAACGTCAGAGAGGAGGGCTTGCCGCGGGATGTGTGGGGCATCAAGTGGGAACAGTGTTGAAAACCTTTTGCTCTTTTCTCGAACTCTTGAACTCTGCAACCTCGCTGAGTCAGAATCGAGCTCCCTGTCAAGGATATGTACATCGTGTACCGAGCCGAAATATGGCTCCACCGGCTGCTTCGACTGAAGTCTTTCGGGCTTAGGGTTGAATGGGTTGAATGGGTTGATGACCTACCGAGGCCTTGACAGTTCCCATCTGCAACGGGCGTGGGAAAGCTGTCGAGGGATTCAGAGATTGTGCGGGCTCGGGCCCTTAGATCTGCAGTGTGCTTTGCTGAAAGATAGCAACCCGGATCCGAGGCTGCAAAAGAGCGGCAAGCTATGCTTGGCACCCAGGACCGCTTAGGACCGCTTAGGACTGGAGGCTTTATTATAAGAACCTTCACGCCCTAACCCTGAAGCCCCTCAGATGCAAGGATGAAGAAGCCCCGCGGTCTCACAAATACATAGGTTTGCTGTAGAGGGTTCAGAGTTTCTGGGGTCTTTGGGATGGAGCCAGCGGGCAGTGGTACAATCTTCTCTATTTCTTGGAACCCCAGCTGTCGATCAAGTCTCAGCAAGGCTTCGACAACCTTGAATTTGATCGATTTGGCCGCCATCGCGCCCTGGCGCCACTAGTTTGGGTGGGATGTTGAGGAGTATCTGAATGGCCCTTTTAAATGCCTCACCCGGCTGCACTTGATACTCGATTCAGGGGCTTATGCGAAAAGCCGGCTTGGGATTGAGGACTTGCCCCTGTGCGAAAGTATTGCATTAGCCTCTTCGACAGCGCCGAGAGGGCAGTATAGCCTCTTGACAAACACACCCTGCTTGTTTGGCCAGCATGTCAGTTCTGGGTTCTTCTGCTCATACATGGTGGCACCTCCGTTACTCTGCTAGCCTTCTGTACTTTGCAGAAGCATGTGAGCTGAATTTGCTCCCCCTTTGACTTCAATCCTAAGCCGTCAAAACCCTAATGGTGCTTCAGCTTCATGGAGCCTGACAACTGCACTTTGCAGCAAGGTTCCTTTCTACGTCGGCATCATGCTGGGCAGCGAGTCTGTAGGTGCCGTGCGCATTCTCCGGCTCCTCGACTTGGTGAAGTGGTCCCAAGAGCCCCAAGAGATTCTATGATTCTATGTGCTTTCACAGGCTTTCACTCGAAGCTCCAAAGCGGATTTCTTTGTGCAAGGGTTTCAGGAATCTTGGATTCTAGGGATGTAGTCACTGGCAAGCGAATGCATAGCTGCAGCTGCCCTAAGGCTCTGGAAGGCACTTGCTAGCTCAGCCCCTGATCGGCCTTTTCTTGGAGAGGCCGTAGTAATTGGTCCTCCTCGTGCCAATGTTACCAAGGCTCATGCGGGTGCTACGTTTGCTGAAGCTGCGGGGCTGCAGAGACTGTCCACGAAGCATCTTAGCCTTTGGAGCCCACATCCTACGTCCTCCAACTGTTCCTCTCTGCCCTGTGTGCTCTGCAGCAATGCCTTGCGTTGTGGTCTGCAATGTCCAGCCGGACACTTAACCTTTGGGACCCTGGGCTTCAATAGATTGGCTACTATAAGTGCCAGGCCAGGTCTAAAAGTTTACAAGTGCAGCACGCAACCATGTAGCCTCATCCAGTTCTTCAAAGTCAACCATCCATGCCATCAGTCGACCTCTTCTTACAAGTCTGATTTTTCGTAAGCCCTAGTTTCTTGCAGTTGCTTTTTGTTTCAATAATGTTGAAGTGGCGGTCAAGATTTCGTGAGGAAAGGTGTGTATCGATGATCGAAAAAAACAGTGTTGGTCAGTCACGCCACGCTGCACAGGGCGGTTCTTTGAGGGGCTTGGGTTACATGAACAGCTGGACAGTTTCTGGCGCCGTTGTGGAGAACGCTGCACTAAGGCTGGCGAAACACCATCCTGGAATCACGCTTTGCGTCGAGGCCGGATGTGCTGATCCCTAAGACCCGCAGCAGGCGCAAAGGCTTGCAAAGGTTTGGTGGTGTTCCTTCGGCACTTATCACGTTCAGGCAGGCTCAAAGTTTAATGAGGCCGAAAGCTCCAATATCACACAACAAGCTTATGCCGACTTCTGCCCTCAAGCCCCCCGCAATATTCCGACAACATTCGAGGATTGGCCTCGGGATTGGTATTTCAGCGCACAAATGGGGGCTCAAGCTTGGGTTCCGCAAGGCTACAATTGAAAGCGGCGTGCCTTTGGCCGTGCTGATGTGCCTTGGCAGTGGCATGGGTTGCAGTCTTCATCTGTGTTGAGAGTCCTGTAGACGTTAAGCCACTCCTCCGATGCAACAAGCCCACCTCCAGTGCAATGGTGAAGAGAAAATTTTTGGAGATGTTGACTGCGAGTTGCTTGATAAATCGACAGGTTAACAGTTCAAAACGACTTGTTGGATTTGGATGTTTCGCTTGCTATGCCTCGACTGCGCAGCCTCGATATGCCTCGATGATGTCCGTGGCCCCTGTAGGTTTATACGCTTCAGGTTCGAAGAGTGTTCGGGCTTCAGTGTATTAAGCCTACAGAGTCTTGGTGGTTAGAGCTTGGCGGTATGGCGGAGTGGCGTACTGCACAGGGTTTCTCGTTGTTGCATCAAGGCTGAGTGTCCTTGATACCCCTTCTTTTCCTCGGGCTGGGCTTAACTGCTATCCGTGTTCGCAGGCGTGAATACGCATGTTGGAAAGTGCTCTTGCCGCGAGCTAGAACTTTTGCAGAGCACCTCCTTGTCTCCATCTCAGTTTCTCCCATAAGCCTGAAGCCAGGTTCTTTAACATTATTTTTGGCGTGATCTTCGCCTCTGTTATCTTCTACTTCGAAGGCGCCGACCACCAGACGTGTTTGCAACTCATGCGGGGGGGGGGGGGGGTGGAGGGAGGTTTGTTGCTCTGAAAGCTTGGAACGCTGTCATTTCCTCCCCCTTTTCCCGAACACCTGAATATCTGACCGGCTTACGCGTCTTCACGGGACAGTGCGGGACCCCAAACCCCCAAGCTCTTAACCCTAAGTGCCAAACTCTGACGCAAAAGGGCCAGGAGCTTGAGGATCTCAAACTCGATTGATACCTTTGGGGTTGCAGGATTGAGGGTTTCAAGCTTTCAAGTGCAACGACGCTAAGCCCATCCCGGCAGGCTCTGAATTTTCAGTGGACGATCAGTTCGTCCAGAATGGCTTTCCCAAGGGCCCTTGCCTCAGATGTGAGTTAGAGGGGTTTTGGCTGTAGAGTCAGGGTGGTCGGTTTTTGGGTGAGCACGCTGTTAAGGCTCAGGGGTTACATGGGGTCGTGCTGTTTAGTCGGCAAATACGTTGATCTGGGTTGGAAGGCTAATCTTGCAGACACGATGTAATTGTCACGAACGGATATCCGTGGTCACTGTAGACTTTCGTGAAGCACAACCCCTGGCTCTCTGAACAGATACGTATCGGACAGTCCATTGACGCACAACTGCCCGGCAACGAGAGTTAACTCTCACAGCCTTTGTACCGCTCATGCAACAGTTCTGGGATACTTGTCATGAGCCTCTGCGAGGCGTCTTCATACGAGGCGATACCAATGGCAGCTCGTCTGCGGAGGTTTCTTTACAGGGTGCGATAGGGCTATGCTTCTTGCAGTTGAGCACTGCTTTGCTCGAGATTAGGGGAGGGCACGGGACGGAATTTTCTATATTTCTAGAGGAAATTGAGAGTTCGCCACTGCCAAGAACCCCGAGTTGCGGCGATTCATGAGTCTATCGAGGACGCTCAGCCGGTGGACAGGTGAGAGTCCGTAGTGGTGCCTGCAACGGCTCGCAACTGCGGCGCGCTGCAACCCAGTTCAAAATCTTGCCCAATTCA